TACTGTGTGCATACACATTGCACATGCATGTGTTGTGTGTACATGTGTGTTGCATGTGTTGTGAGTGCACCTGTGTTGTGTGTTGTGAGTGCATTTGTGTTGTGATTGCATGTGTTGTGTGTGCACATGTGTTGCATGTTGCAAGTGCATGCATGTTGTGTGTTGTGAGTGCATGTGTTGTGTATATTGTGAGTGTGTGAGTGTTGTGTATGTTGTGAGTGCATGTGTGTTGTGAGTGCACATCTGTTGTGTGTGTTGAGTGCATGTGTGTTGTGTATTGTGAGTGCATGTGTGTTGTGTATATTGTGAGTGCATGTGTGTTGTGAGTGCATGTGCGTTGTGTATGTACATGTGTATTGTGTGTGTTGTGTGTGGTGTGTGTTGTGAGTGCATGTGTGTTGTGTGTTGTGAGTTCATGTGTGTTGTGTGGGCACATATGTGCATGTGTGGCATGTGGGTGTGTACATGTCCTTTGAAGCACAGTGACTCCTGAGGCAGGTGTCTTCCCCATGGCTGGTCCAGACAGGCTGCGACTGCCATCGGTTCCATTTGTTGAGATGCTAAGATGGGGCAGGGGAGAAATGGAGCTGGGAGAGTAGCATTTTCTGTTATGTTTGGGCGGCCTTAGTTTGGATTCCCCCCACAAGCAAATCCTCTGAAAAGAGCAGAGCTGCACATCATTTGTGTGGGAAAGCGATCTCAGGGACTAGGAAGAAGTGAGACTGAGGAGGGAAGCCCAGCCCAGAGTATGTTCTGGAGCTGATCCCTGCTGTGAACATCTGGGCTCCGTCTTGCTGGGAAGTGGGAGGGGACAGGATCACCACCAACTTCCACCCCCAACCAAGGGCTGCTCGGGCGTGTCAACTCTTTTGCTCTTCCAGGTGTACGATGGCTCCCCCCTGACGAGTGAGTGGGTGGGCTCCTGCAGGTGCCACAGCTGCAGCAGCCAAATCGTCCTGAGAAAGAAGCAAGAGGTGTGTGCAGCCCCAGGCTGGAGGTGGAATCAGCCCCTCCTGTCTGCAGCTGGTTACCACAGCAACAGCTGGAGCAAAAGGGTGGACTGAGAGGATGTGAGGTGGTATGTAAAAATGTCCCGCACAGCATCCAAAAGAGATGTCCTGGAAATAGTTGGCTATCTGAGCCTGGAGTTCAGAGGTAGAGCTGAGCTATTGGTATAGGCATCATCAGCATAGAGATGATACAGCTGTGGGACCTCAACTAGAGGAAAGTCAAAGATGAGCATCTAAGGGTGACCTCTGAGCTGCCCCTTCTGAGAGGGGTGAGGAGGAAGATCCAGTAAAGGAGTCAATCTGAATGGAGCAGAAGGAAAACCAGGGAAGTGGGTGTGATGAAATCCTCAGAAGGCAAACCAGATGAGGATGTAAAAATCATCAATGGGTCACAGATGGGCTTGATGAGAGTGGCTTCGGTGCTGTAGTGGGGAACATCTTGATTGCAGGTGTGGACAGAAGATGGAGATTGCTTTTAAGATCCAGGCTCTCACAGGGAGCAGGCCAACGAGGCAGGAAGGAGGAGGTGCTTTATTTTTCCAAATGGTATTTTCAATATCTCACCAAAAAATATTTGAGTAACCATCTCCGTGTGAATTGCATCTTGTTACTAACAGCACAGAGAATTACAAATTATGTTACTTCCAAATTAACCAGAAGCAAGGCTGGTTCAACATACGCAAGTCTATAAACGTAATTCACCACATAAACAGAACCAAAGACAAAAATCACATGATTATCTCAATTGATGCAGAGAAGGCCTTTGACAAAATCCAAATTAACCAGAAAAGAGAAGAGGAGGAAGATGAAGATTAGACATCATTTATCCAGAATATTTTGTATGAGTTCTTGAATAAGACTTGGAAACTAAGCCAAAAAAGAGAGAGAACAGAGGCTGGACATCTGCTGCGAGGCTGAGGGGGAAAGTGATTCCATCTCAGTACTCACGATCACATTTCCATTCCGTGTTGTTAGCGTAATTTATGTATTTTACAGTTGAGGAAAGTGAGTCTAGAAAAGTTTTATTACTAACTCATGTTCACCCAGATGAGGGCTGGAGAGGTGATCTGAACCCAGCTCCATGGGACCTGGGAGTCTAATTGCTTTCTGGGACCACAGCGTCATGTAAGGGGCAAGGGCTAAGGTACACCATGGTGAGTGGCAGGCATGGACGGAAGGGGAGTAGCTCATTCTCTAGGAGGAGTTTCTCTCTGTAGGAACTCAGGTTCTGGAAGGTTCCGGTTCAATTTTCCAGAATCATGGATAACCATTTTAGTTTTCTGCCACTGAAATTCCTGTGATGGGGCTGGCTCTTATGAGTGGCTGGAGCCACCGTGACACCGTGCAATGGAGAGTGAAGAGCTGGCGCTGGACACAAACTCCTCTCAAAGCCGTTTCTCCGTGTTCCCTGTCCTCCCATCCCCCTTCTGTTCGTTCTGTGGAGGACCTAAGCTCAGGCTCTGAGGATAATTTGTGAAAACAAAAGAAATGGGCAACAGTTTGTGTAAGTTTCCCATTTATTTTTCCCTTTTCCATCACAAATGCTCCCGGGGTAGTGTTGAATGATGATATCTCATCTAACCATTTGCAGGTAGCAGCAATAGATAAAATAGAGATGGAGAAAACACCCAACAGAGTTGTATTCTATTATCGACGTGGCTACCTGGAAAAATTGGTGCATATCTTGGTTAAAGCCTTGTAAACTGAGGAAAAATTAAGTTCAGCATGCTCTGGGAAAACAGTCTGTCTCCATTTTGAATAACTACTACTTACTGACCATGACCTTGAGATGACCAGCAGATGTCAGTATAACGTAGGTCTAGCAGGAGCCTGTGTCCAAACAATGAGGTCAGCGCTGGTGAGAACTTACTCTCGGACATCAAAGACCCCCAAAATAAAGGAATGGCCTAGACCCGCAAAACCATGATGCGTTGCATTCTTCCTTAGGCTATGGTGTGAATAAATACTTGAGGAAAATGGCTTCTTAGTTCAAAGAAAATGCAGGAAACGTTCAAGGAAATGAAGAAAAAAGAAAGCAAGTATTTACTTGGGTTAGCCTTCTTTAAAGACCATAAGGTATAGATAGGCTAATGCATAGAAATCTGATACAATATGATATTCTAGAACATTCTAGAGCTACGTCGATGGGTATAAATAGCTCCCACAGCGTATTGTGGATATTTTTTAAATTTGGCATGTATAATGTGATTCTACTTATAGAATGTTATACATTCAATACATTTTAATTTAAAAAATAGAATTTGATTTGTAAAAAAATATTTTTTAAAAAAACAAATTGCATGGTCTGTCCCACTCAAAGTTACACCTCTGGGCAATTTTTACACTTTTTTTGTGGTCGTAAGAGTTTCATCGTGGTCATTCTCGGTCGCCATCTCTTTCTGAAGTTAGAAAGGTGGTAGACCAGTTGTTACCTTTACATCTTGTCCCATGCTGCTACTGCTGCTGCGTCTTCTTCTTCTTCTTCAGATGGAATCTCGCTCTGTCACCCAGGCTGGAGTGCAGTAGCGCGATCTCAGCTCACTGCAGCCTCTGCCTCCTGGGTTCAAGCAATTCTCCTGCCTCAGCCTACCCAGTAGCTGGAATTACAGGCATCCATCACCATGCCTGGCTAATTTTTGTTTTTGTTTTTTAGTAGAGACAGGGTTTCACCATATTGACCAGATTGGTCTTGAACTCCTGACCTCAGGTGATCCACCTGCCTTGGCCTCTCAAAGTGCTGAGATTACGGGCTTGAGCCATTGCACCTGGCCCCACACTTCTTTATCTTAGATTTTTCTAGCCCAGCCCAAAGGGAACACATGCTTGAGAAAGGCTTATAAAAAGATAAATAAGACCTAATCATTGTCTTCATAAGAATTTACTCTCCTTGGGGAACAAAATACACACATAAGCAGTTTTGGTGAATATGGTTAGTGCCATTCCTACGTGGGATACGCTACTCCTTCCTCCTCCTTGCCCATCCAACTCCAGCTTTGCAATTGGCTCTTAGCTTAAGCATCAGCTCATCCAGGAAGCCTCCTGAATCTCCACATTGCCTGAGGACTGCCTTTACCCTTGCATGTGCTTTTCTGCCCCAGGGCCGCCTTCTCCTTCCTCGGGATTGCATGCTAGAACAGGGTCTCACTGAATGTCAACAAATTTGTGTGTCCAGAGCCGCCCTTTATCAGTGGTGGGTGGGAGGTGATGGCTAAACACCCAGCTTCTACCTTCTTGCCAGGACAGCCTGGGGACATGTACCATATATGCAGCCTCCCAGACGTCCCCAGTGGGGTTGGGCCCAGGTGCCCACTGTGCACTCTACATAGGTTCCTTTCTTTCTCTATCTCATTCCCCCCGCTCCTCCGTGAGTATTTCTTGGCTCTTGTCCCAAATTAACTGCTGTGCTCAACTGCTTGTCTCCAGGTTTGCCTCATGGAATCAATCCTGGAACAGCACTTACCAGGCTGCATTATACTTGCTTGCTTTCTGTGTCTGTTCCTTTAGCCTACAAGCTCCATGAGGACAGGGGCCACATCTGTGTCTAGCTCTGTCTCTGGATAGACTCTGAATGGATCTTTATTAACTCATCAAGTCGCATCTGGATTCTGGGTATAATTAGCTGCATAAAAGGAGGGGAGCTTGCATGTCCCAGGCTTTCACCTTTGGCCTAACAGATTGAAGAAGAGTTTTGCTCAATATCCACTTCTAAGAAGAGGTGGCCAACACATTCCAGGTTTATTTTATTTTATTTATTTATTTATTTATTTTATTTATTTATTTATTTTAACTCCATGAATCCTCTGTTGGGAGGAAGCATTTTAATCCGAGGTAGGGGATGGTAACACTGTACAGGGAGCACTCACAGCTCCAAGAGTTTCCCTTCAAATTATGAAGAAGCTCCTGTAAATAACTAGATTTCCTATGGCCTGGTCCTCTGCCAGTGGGAAGGAGGGGAAATGAATGTGAAAAGCATTGTGGTCTGCCGTCTGGTCATTCATAGATCCAATTCTGAGCACAGCTCTTGAAATCTACCGGTTCCTCAGGGTGAAACCATAAGCCGATCTCCTTCTCTGCACTCTCCACGGAATCGCTGCCGTGTATAATGTTCCTGCCGACTTGTATGCAGAAGTCTCCACGGATGGTCCCAGGCTTGGAGTCCACAGGATTGGTCTCTCCGAGCATGACTCAGCCTGTCTTCACCACGTTCAGCCCCTCCCAGACCATGGCAACTACCGGCCCTGAGTGCATGTATTTCACCAGGCCAGCAAAGAATGGACGGTCCTTCAGGTCGATGTAGTGTTCCTCGAGAAGGTCTTCAGAAGCTTGCATGAATTTCAGACCAACAAGGCGGAATCCCTTCTGCTCAAAACGCTTGATAATCTCTCCCACAAGACCCCGCTGGACCCCATCTGGTTTGATCGCAATGAAGCTACGCTCACAGTTGGCCATGGTCCCCTCCAGCTGCTTGGGTTTGACTCTAGGTTTATTTTAATCTGTGACTTCTCAGAACAATTTTCCTTTTTCATTATTCATTCCAGCCAACATCCTCTCTCTTCTGGTATTGGGTATCCCTTCCCCACATATCATCCTGAGAAAGCCAGGTGCATTCACACCACTGTGTCTGTGCAATTGCTGTTCATTTTCCTGGGATATCTCTCTTTTCCATGCCCCTTACTTCCCTGGGTCTTCTGATTTCAGTTTCTTCTTCTAGGCTTGGAGTGTGCCCCTTTCCCTGGAAGAGACTTTGTTGCCAATGCTGCAAAAAAGGCAGCCAACTCCTGGGGACAAAACCATGAATGAAGAAAATCTCTTCCAGGGAAAGGGGCACAGTCCAAGCCTGGAAGGAGGAAAAGAAGTCTCCTCTGTGTTTATGATTGGGGAAGAGGAGCATAGTGTCTAAGAAGGCAGATCCTGGAGCCCAGCTGTCTGAGTCCTAATCTCAGCTCTATCTCCCATCACCTGTTTGACTGGGGTAGATTACCGAACTTTCCTAGGCCTAGGGGTGTGTTTCTACAGAAAGCCTTCTTTAATGTAAGGACTTTGTCAGTTTCTCTTTGTAATTAAGAATCAGAAATTCTGGGGGTATGGGACAGGAAATAGTGGCAATAAGAGATTAAAATCCATGAAGTGGAATGTCTTGATCAACAAGTGAAATGAGCTTCTGCAAACACACACACACACACACACACACACACACACACACACACGAGTGCGCGCACACACACGTGCACACACATTCTCTGTTGAAATATGCAAATACTTTCACTTGGGTGTTTATTCCGCATACTCCTTGCTCCTGCTGGTGGTCTAGTAATTTCACAGTAGGCACAGAGGGGTCTTTTTTCTGTAGAAGGCTGGCTCCCTCACAGCCTGGTTCTGTCATACCTGCTTTTCCTTCTTCTTGGAGCTGTCCCCTGAGGCATTCTCCTCCAGGTCCCATTCCCTGGGTCTGGTACCTTCTCTGGAAATGCTTAATTAATACTAAGGTCTGCAAAAGCTGGCTGACCTCACTGTGTCCCCCACACCCTGTGCCTGTCTGTGCTGTTGACTTTGATAGTAGCACTTTGCTGTAGTTGTTGATTTCCTCCTCCCTCTTTCTCCCTCCAGACGATTTCACTTTTCCTTCTGGTGATGATGGCTCAGGGTTTACAATGCAGCCAGCCTCCCATATCCACACGTTCCACAGTCACAGATTCAACCAACCTCGGATCATAAGTAGTTAAAACATTACTACAGGATAATACACACTTTACAATTCAATGTAATGACCATTTACATATCATTTACGTTGTATTAGTTATCATAAGTAATCTAGAGATGATGTAAAGTATTCAGGAGGATGTGTGAGGTTATATGCAAACCATACCACGTTACATAAGGAATTTGAGCATCTCTGGGTTTCAGTATCTGCAGAGGGTCTTGGATCCAGTTCCCCATGGATATTGAGGGATGACTGTAGACACTCTAAACTTACAGTCTGCCTTCAAATAGATTATGTAATTTGTGTATAATGTATGTGTATAATGTAATAACCATATGGCAGTGTAATTCCACCCCTCCACTGTCTTTTCTGCTATTTATGGCATGCGTTTTACTTCTACAAAATGTTAAAACCCCACAATTGTTATTTTTGCTTTTAACAGCCCATTAACTTTTAAAGACATCATAAAAAAAGAAATTCTTTTATACCTACCCTCATTTTGAACTCATTTTTGCCATTTCTGGAATTCTTTATTCCTCTACACCTTTCTGAGTTTCCACCCGGTATCATTTTATTCTGTGTGTAAAACCTCCTTTAATATCTCTGGCTGTTCAGGTGTGCTGATGAAATATTCTGCAGACTTTTTTTGGGGGAAGAGGGGCTCTGAAAATGTCCTTTTTGCATGTCTATTTTTGAAAGGTTTTTTTGCTGAATATAAAATTTTAAGTTGTCAGTTTGTTTTATTCTTTGTGTTATTTAAAGATGTTTCATTGCATTGACCTATGACCTCATTTTAGGTTTGATTAGGATAAAAGGAACATTCTTATCCCTGTTCTCCACTGTGTAATGTCTCTTTTTTTCTGGATGCTTTTAGGATGACCTTCATCACTAGTTCTCAGAAATGTGATTATGATATATCTCAGTGTTTTATTTTTTTTGTGATATTCTGCCTGAGGGTTTGTGTGTGCTAATGTTTGTGTCCTCCCCAAAATTCTTACGTTGAAAACCTAATTACCAATATGACAGTATTAGGTGGTACCTCTGGGTAGCGGTTAACTCGTGAGGGAAGAGCCTCCACGAATGGGATTAGTATCCTTATAATCCCAGACACTGAAGCCTTGATCTTGGACTTCTCTAACTCCAGAATTGTATGAAATAAATTTCTGTTGCTTTTAAGCCACTCAGTTTGTGATCTTTTCTTACAGCAGCCCAAATGAGCTAAGACAGTGGGTTTCAATCTTTCATCAAACTTGAAAATATTTTGGCCATTATTTTTTAAAAAATTATTTTTATTTGGCCAGGCATGGTGGCTCACGCCTGTAATCCAAGCACTTTGGAGGCCAAGGTGGGTGGATCACCTGAGGTTGGGAGTTCAAGACCAGCCTGACGAACATGGTGAAACCCCGTCTTTAAAAAAAAAAAGAAAAGAAAAGAAAAAAAGATTAAAAAAATTATTTTTATTTACTCTTCCTCCGGGACTCCAATTTCTTGTCTACCGGACCACTCTATTTTGTCTCACAGTTGTTGAGGCCCTATTCATTTTTCTCCAGGCTTTTTTCTTCTCTGTTTTTAAGTTTGGATAGTTTCTGTTTCCCAGTCTTCAAGTTCAAGGAGCTTTTCTTCTAGTGCAAACATTGCTGTTAGACCCAACCGGTGAACATTTTATTTCAGATGCTGTGTTTTTCTATTCCAGAATTTCCACTGTTCATTATGGATCCTGTTTCTTGATTGAGATCCCTACATTCCCTCATCATGCTCATGTTTTGCTGTCTATGATCATACTTCTAATAGCTACTTCAAGGTTCTGGTTTGATACTTTTATACTTCTTATTGTGAATGGGTCTTTTTCTAATGACATTTTTCTCCCGGTATCAGGTCAATTGTCCTGTCTGCATGTCTAGTAAGTTTTTATTTTATGCTGGACATTGTGAATGGTAGCTTGTAAAGTGTGTGGATTATATTGTCTTCTTTGAAGTGTACTGAAGTTGTTTGTGTTTGAGTGTGTGTGTGTTTGGTTTTTGGTTTTGTTTCGAGACAGGGCCTCATTCTGTCACACAGGCTGGAGTGCAGTGGTGTGATCACAGCTCACTGCAGCCTTGACCTCCTTGGCTTGAGTGATCCTCTCACCTCAGCCTCCCAAGTGGTTGGCACTATAGGCACATGCCACCACCTCTGGTGAATTTTTATATTTTTTTTGTAGAGAAGGGGTCTTGCCATGTTGCCCAGATGGTGTTGAACTCCTAAACTCAAGAAATCCAGCTGTGTCAGCATCCCAAAGTGCTGGGATTACAGGCATGAGCTACCACACTTGGCCTGAGTTTTGTTCTGGCAAGTAGCTAATTTCCTTGTATGTAGTTCAGCATGATTCTGTCAGTCTTATTTTTAAGCATGTTAGGGTGAGTATAGAGTAGCTTTTGCTTCACAGCTAGAGAACCATAGTTTCTGAGACATGGCATTTCTGAGGCCTCAACTGAGTTCCTAGGGTATTTTTGAGATCTATGAATTCTTGTAAGTTGGTGCTCCTGTGTCACTTGACTCTTTGCAAGCTCTGGAATCTCTGTGTAGCTCTTTTCAGCCTCATCTTTCTGTGCCAAGGATAGCTGGTTGTTTATTGCTAAAAGCTTTGCCTGGCTTTATGAAATCTCATCCTCTATATCCCCAACTTACTATTCAGCCAGAGACTCAAGGAGACCCCTGTGTAAGTTTTTGCAACTCCTCCGTGAAGCGCCTCCAACCACGCCGTACTCTGTGCCATTCCTTCCCACAGTCTTAGCAACCAAACTCTGATCTTCGTCTTCTCCACTCAGCTCGGCACGATTACTATGCACTCCTATGCGCTGGTTTACAGTGGATGAAGAGTCTTTTACAGGTAAAGAAAGTGGCACACTCCAACCCTGGAAGGAGGAGCAGAAGATGGAGGATCCAGGGAAGAGGAGTAGGGGACGGGGACATCCCAGGCAAAATAAAAATAGGCATGGACTTGCCTTCCCTATACTATGATACAGAAAGTGCTGTAAGTCAGATAACTGGGCAAATCATAGGGCTTATCTCATTTTGCTCTCCAAGAGGTCACAGTACTGCCACATCTGATGTCCTACATCTTCAAACATTTTCCATTGTTTATGGGGGAAGGGCTGCTCTGTCACCAGTTACTCTGATTGGCTTCTCTGGATGTTGAGAGGAACACAGAGGAGATGGGAGGTGAGAGTTCAGTCTGTGCACCCCCAGCTCTCCACAGTAGGCAACGGCTCACAGTAGATGCCTGTAGCAGTTTCAAGAATGGGTCCCCCAAGATGTCTACATTCTAGTTCCCAGAACCTATGGGGATGTTACCCTCTATGGCAAAAGGGACTTTGCAGATTTGATAAATTAAGGATCTTGAGAGGGAGGAGATGATTCTGGATTATTTGGGTGGGCTCAGTGTCATCACAATGTCCTTAGAAATGGCAGACAACAGTGACACCAGCCAAAACAGGAGCTGAAGGATGGAACCAGAGGTTGGAAGGGTGCACTTGGAAGATGCAGGAGGGGGCCATGAGCCTCATAGGTCCCAGAAAAAATGAGGAATATATTCCTCTGTAAAGCCTCCAGAAAGAGCCTGGCTCTGCCAACACCTGGATTTTAGGCTTCTGACTTTCCGGACTGTAAAAGGACATATTTTGTTGTTCAAAGCCACTAAGTCTGTAGCAGTTTGTTACAGCAGCCACAAGAAACTAATTTATAGTGCCTTGTAAATCCTAAGGAGATTGAAGTTGCTCAATAGTAATTAATGTCC